TAACAACCCTTTATCTAAATTCTGACAGAATCTGTTTTAACGTCACAAAACGTGTTATGAAAAAAATCCCTGTCTTATAAAACGGTGCAGCTCTTATCAAGGTCACCCATATAAACCGTTTCATAACTCCACAAACTTATGCAAATGTGTCAGAAAGGAAGTGAGCGCTCCTCTGAGCCACGGCAGAAATTAAGGCACTTACATAAATGAGATTAAAAATAAAAGTGTTGAAAAGGTCCAGAGTAAAACGAGATTATCCTGACGTGTGGTAATCCAGCTCAGAATGCCTGAGACTCCAGAAATATTGACCAGCAGCACTGTCGTGACACGGGAGAGCACGTAAACATATAAACACACTGCATTCCGTACCTCCACTGAATCAGGAGACATTTTGCAAACACTACAAACAGATAATCACACCTACAGACGCTGTTACAAACACAATCAGCAGCAGATGAGGATAAACCAAAAAGATTTTGGTGACGCACTGTTCTGACATTAGAGAGTGAACTGGACCATGGTGAGGTTTTATTCAATTCAATTCAATTCAGTTTATTTATATATCTCCAAGTCACAACATACGTTGTCTCAGGGCACTGTACATAAAAAGAACAATCTAAAGAAACCAGCAGATTGTGTTGAATCACTTCATCACAGTCTCCCATCCTGAGCAAACTGTGGAGAGGAGAAACTCCCTGCTAATCAGGAAGAAACCTCCAGCAGAACCAGGCTCAGGACAGGATCTGCCTTGACCAGCTGGGTCGCTAAACAGGAAGTAGCTCAGTTCTTCAGAGCGATCAGACATTTTCCAGCAATAAAAACAGCTAGAAGTCAGCAGTGAACACAGTCCCACTAACCCGCTAATAGTGGAACTAGCTTCTTATTTAGCGGAACTAGTTTTTGTTAGCGGACTGATTAGCTTCCATTAATTTGAAATCCACTCAAAAAAGGTGCAAAACTTCCATTTTTATGTCATTTAAACAGAAATAAATAAAAAAAACTCTCCCTTCTCACAAGCAGTTCTGGACGTGTTCGGCACCGTGTGTTAGCATGTAGCATCTTTAGCCACTAAACATCAAACTAGGAGCATCAAAAGTAAATAAAATAACTTTCAACAATATTCAAACAATACATACAAAATTAACTAAGTATAAAATATGGTACAGAAAGTATTTGCTGTTTGACTAACTTTAAACAGTATTTATAAAAATACAAACTTGATTAAGGAAATGCTTTTATTCTGAAAGGGGTAGACTGGAAGTAAGTTAGACGGAGCTATATCTCTGGGTTGGATTGGCTGATTTATCACAGATTACCCCGCCTACCTTAATTAGATTAAACAGAAAACTAACAACAGGTTTGTGTCAGATCCACTGGTCTGTAACTGGAAAGAGGAAGCTGTTGTCTTAGCGGTTAGCGTTAGCTTCCTCTAATTTTATTTTTAATTTAGCGTTAACAGATCTTAGATTATTTTTAGTGGATTAGCGGTCAGTGAAGCTAACTTTTTGATTAGCTGTGCCCACATCTGGACGTCAGGTTCTGTGGAGACATGATGAACAAACAGTGTCTTACCTGTCACTTTTTAATCAACCTCAGTTTGAAGAAAAACAGCTGAATTCTGATCAGACTGATGAGCTAAAGGCTAGTCAGACTACCTACCTAATTTAGCTACCTAAATATTGAGGTTGCAACTTAAATATTTAGCTAGCAATTTAAATATTTAGGTAGTAAGTTAAATATTTAAAAAGCTAGCTAAATATTTAAGTTAAATATTTAGGTGACTAGCTAAATATTTAACTTGCTACCTAAATATTTAGGT